AAAGAGTTATGGAAAGGCAAGGTAATCAGCGGCAGCTGGTAGATTTCTGAGGGTTTGGAGGAATTTCTGCGAAGAAGTTTTGAAGCGAGATGCAGCATAGAAGGTAGTGCTCCGTTCCTCCATTTCGATCTTCGATCTTCGATCTTCAGAACTCAGAAGTGGGAAAGTAGTATTTTTCTTGATAAATGAATTGCCTGCCAATTTCAAATCATGATTAAGTTATCAGAAAATTTTACTTAAAGAACACAATTGCAGAAGTACATAGATGGAGAAGTGAGCTTGAAAATCGCAGCCATTAAAGCATGATTGGCTTAACATCATACTAGGACAAATCAGGAAAGAAACTGAATGGATAAATCAAACAAAATTAACCTTAAGCAAATTGGTTGAAGCATTTATCCTAACTTTCAAATTTCAGTTAGTAATTGGTTCACTCCATCATATCATTTTAGAAGAAGCAATAGGAAAACACGTTGCGTATATAAGTTTTGACAAAATGACTCCCAGCAAGGACCTGCACCTAATCTTCTAAAAATCTAACAAGATGAGACTAAATTTAATTAATGAGTTCTTTGCTGGTAAAGATAGTAGTCAATGAGACACCACCATAATGGAAAATGACTAAATGACAATGGAAGATCCACAAAAGAATCAATAATTGTCACAATCTATTATGAAATGAGCTGCACATCATTTTGCAAACTGACCTAGAAGGCTGAGTGCTGAGATTACTGCATCATCTCCAATAGTGACTGTCAACATTAACTGCCCAACAATAAAAGCAAGCTGGATTCAAATAACAGAATAACTTGTCTATGAATCAGATCACCAGCCAAAAATGAAAACACAAAAATAAATAAATAAATAAATAAATAAATTCCAGCTTCTTACCTGTCTATGAATCAGATCACCAGCCAAAGAATATGTGCCGACAGCCGCTACCCTAATCTCGTCAAAATCCAGCAACTAGACGACAGGTTGGGTCGAATCTTCACCTTGCGTTCATCCAGATCAGACCACCCAAGGACGAGAAAAAGATTTTAGTTGGCGATGTCAAGAGAGTGAGCGTCTAGAGCGCAAAGGACCGTCAGCCATCCTGACCAGATGCGTCATTGCTCAGCCCTTCACAGGCGATACAATTGCAATTTTGCAACCCACATCCTTCGGATGCGTCCGCTTCCGGCATTAATTCTTTTAATTTCTCATAGAGAAGTACGGTAAAAGGAAGAAGATAACAGGCCCACATATTAAAAAAGGGGGAAAAAAATCTTTCTTTCATTAAAATGCACCGTTAAAATGAAAGGAATGGAAGAAAGCTTGGTAAAGTCTTAACATTAAAAACATCCAGTTTATAGCCAAAATTTTCAACAAACATTGAAC